TAAGTGCAAGAACAAACGTCAGAATTTAGACCGGCACGTGAAGGAAATATCTCTGCAGGTTGCATGCAGAAGTTGCTCGTTGTTGTGAAATGTTTTGGATTTCCTGTCTTTTCATTTATTTATTAACATTCTGTCCCTCCATCAAGGCTGTGTACAGGTGTCAGAGTCCTGCAGCAATCAGTTCCGCACAACTTTCTTTCCAAAGGAGTAAAGTTTATTGGAGTCTGTAAAGGCAAGTCATCTGCACGTACATTTAGTGTCAGGATTGAAAGGAAGCGCATGTAGCCAAAAGATATACTTGATTCAAAGGGTCAGGAGATGGTCTTGGGCCAATCAGAATCAAAGCAAGAGCCCACCTAAGCTAGCCGGCTATACATTCCCAGAGAATAGAGCAACAAGGTACCAACGTCACAGTCTCAGGCTACAGGGCGATAAAGAAGAGGGAGAATCAAAACATAACATTCCAAGCCAAGCGTAATTCGTCCAGCAGCAAGCATCCCCCCCCATCCCAACCATGGCAGCTGAATAGCTGACAACAGGGTCCACCCTAACCCTAATATCTACCCAGTGAGTGGTGGGTCTGTGGCTTGGGTGCTGAGCACCGTCTTTGCAGACAGAAGGTCCCTGGTTCAGTCCCCGGCATCTCCAGTTAAAGGGCCTCGGGCAGCAGGAAGTGCCGGAAGAAATCTCTCTACCCATAACCTGGAAAGAGGCAGCAAATCAGAGTAGACCTGACTGATGGGGCACAGCAGCTTCTTACATTTTTGGGGGGGAGGGGTTGATATCAGCGAGGAAAAAATGCTCTGGGGTTGGAACGGCAGCCCAAGAGTGGAATGGCAGCCCCTGGGATTTGGATCGGTGCTCCGGAGGGTTGTCGTTCTAGTCCCAGAGCAGTGTATATTTGATTATACAAAGGATGTTGACAAGCTTGAGCGTGTCCAGAAGAGGGCTACCAGGATGGTGAGAGGGTTGGACTCCAAGTCTTACAAGGAAAGGCCGAAAGAGTTGGGTCTGTTTAGCCTGGGAAAGAGAAGGCTTAGAGGGGACACAATTGCAGTCTTCAAGTATCTGAAGGGCTGTCATGTAGAAGATGGAGCGGATCTATTCTCTCTTGCTCTGGATTGCAAGACTAGATTGAATGGGTGGAAATGACAAGGGAGTCGTTACCGGCTAAATATCAGGAGAAACTTCCTGTCAGAGTGGTTGAGCAGTGGAACAGACTGCCTCGGGAGGTGGTGGATGCTCCTTTGCTGGACGTTTTCAAGCGGAGGGTGGACGACCATCTTTCGGGTATGTTGTAGGGCTCTCTTTCGGCTCTGCTCCTGCAGAGTGCAGGGGGTTGGACTAGATGACCTGCAAGGTCCCTTCCAACTCTAACATCCTGGGATTCTATGATCCCAGGAACCGTCACTCCACTCTGGGGGATGTCATTCCAATCACAGCGTGGTGGCTGAGCCAGGGTGGTGTCGTGGTTAAAAGCGGCAGACTGTGATCTGGAGAACCGGGTTTGATTCCCCACTCCTCTTCCACATGCAGCCTGCTGGGTGACCTTGGGTCAGTCACAGTTCTCTCAGAGCTCTCTCAGCCCCACCCGCCTCACAAGGTGCCTGTTGTGGGGAGGGGAAGGGGAAGGTGATTGTGAGCCCCTCTGAGGCTCCTTAAGGTAGGGGAAAGTGAGGTGTAAAAACCTTCTCTTCTTCACAGAACACTTATTCTCCTGCCAGGGACTGTCATGCTAAGCCCAGAGCAGTCTATCCAGACCTCGGGGCCATCGTTCCAATTCTGGGGACTTTCATTCCAGGCCCGAGGCAGGTTCCATTCCACAGTTTCACTGCAACTTTTCTCTGCTGTAATACATCCAGTCAATTGGCATTCCCTGCTACCATTATATCCAATGGTGGATGTATGCCAGCCAGAACAAAGAGTGGGCCTGTGGCTCAGTGTGGAAGAGCCTCCGCTTGGCATGCAGAAGGTCCCGGGTTCAATCCCCGGCAACATCTCCAGGTAAAAAGGACCAGGCAGCAGGTGACGGGAAAGATCTCTTCCTGAGACTCTGGAGAACGGCTGCCAGTCAGAGTCTGACTGGTCTTCACAAACCAGCAGTTTGACTCAGTTTGAGGCAGCTCCATCTATTCAATTGAGCCAGAAGCAAGTCCACTCAAAACAGGGCTCACTTGAAATTGCAAACTGCTCGGCCATAAAAGCATGTGGAGTATCTGATGTGTGACAAAACAAACAATGTGAGTAGGTTAAGATCAATTTTTTGAATGTGTCATTTATGAGAATTGCAACGTCATCCACAAAGAGATAAGAACGTAACATAAGAGAAGCCCATGTTGGGTCAGGCCAGTGGTCCATCCAGTCCAACACTCTGTGTCACACAGTGGCCAACAATACCAGGGGCCATCAGGAGGCCCACCAGTGGGGCCAGGACACTAGGAGCCCTCCCACTGTGGCCCCCCCCCCCAGCACCAAGAATCCAGAGCATCCCTTGCCCCAGCCCGAGAGTTCCTATCTCCCCCTTGTGGCTAATAGCCACCAATGGACCTCTGCTCCATATGCTTATCCGATTCCCTCTTATAAGAACATAAGAGAAGCCAATGTTGTATCAGGCCAATGGCCCATCCAGTCCAACGCTCTGTGTCAAACAGCGGCCCAAAATACCAGGTGCCATCAGGAGGTCCAGCAGTGAGGCCAGGACACTAGAAGCCCTCCCACTGTTGCCCCCCCTCCAAGCACCAAGATGACAGAGCATCACTTGGCGCAGAGTCCCTATCTATACCTTGTGGCTAATAGTCACTGATGGACCTCTGCTCCACATGCTTATCTAATTCCCTCTTGAAGCCGTCTGTGCTTGCAGCCGTCGCCACCTCCTGCGGCAGGGAATCTCTTCCATTCTGGAACCACGTGGCAGAGATTCCATAGAAGACTCACAATACAAGAACTCGTGGGCACTCTATGAAATTGCTGAGCGGTCGGGTTAGAATGGATAAGAGGAAGTACTTCTTCACCCAAAGAGTGATTAACACATGGAATCCACTGAGAAGATCACCGGATCTTTTCAGCTAGGTGCCAAACATCTTGAACGTATGCCCAACGGGTTTGTCTTGTGTCCGTGTGTGTGTTTTCCAGAATTGTGCATGCATAAAAATGCTGCCAATCCGAAGAGACTCAAGACGAAAGGCAATGGCACAGCAATATATCAAAACAATAAAAAAATGCATGTGCCCAAATTTAACATCAATGGTCAATACATTTAATTAGATATATAAAGTAGAACAAATTTTCCAAAAACAGGCCCGTCAAGTCAGCTGGCAAAACACCACCACATCCTTACCGATTAAGGACTTTCTTGAATTCACAAAAGTTGTGTGCCAAAACTCCACTTGTGAATTTCTACTTGTATTCAATTTCACCAGTCAATTTCTATCTCTTTTTGGAAAATGTGTTCCACTTTATATATCTAATTAAATCTATTGAGCATTGAATCCAAAGAGACTGGCAGCCACAAATGTTGCAAAAAGCTACCTAGATGAACAGGGAATGGTAGCTTTTTTTTAAAAAATGCAACATTTATTTATGACTGATGTATGTGATTTGTGACTGATGTAACTGTGTATTTAAACAATTTCCTGCCAAGCAGAGCAGTGGATTGGCAAGGAGGAGCCAAGTAGAACTCAATGGGGGTATGTGAGAAGAAGTGTGTGAACAAAGCCGAATGCTCCATGCTGCGCTGTTCGGAATGAATACAGCAGGGCAATCCACTGAATGGGCACACAACGGTCAATGAACAGATGACCGGGCCGCTGGAAAAGCAGCTCCCCCTTCACCACCGGCGAGCAGAGCACAGAACACACCAGTGGCTGCTGGAGCACCGTGAACCTTCACGAAATAAACGATCACTGGACCCGGGTCGGGGAGGGGGCCATTCCTCACCACCACCCCCAGGGGGCTTCCCCTTGGCTTGAGTCACGGAAGTGCTGGAAGACATTTTTGCAGAACCTTCAAACGTTTTATTAATATCTCGTTATTCATAGAGAAGCTGAGGTCATTTCCAAGTGAATGTCACCAAAATAATCTTTTTTATATATCTGTAGATTTGCATACATTTTAAAAGTGCTCTAGATTAATCAACATCATTTGGGATTGATTGTTTCCCTTCCCCATATATATATTTATATATATCTATATACACAGATATATTTATAACACCTGAAGATATCTGCATAGTAATATGAATATTCTGTTGCTGTTGCCTTGTGAAATCATCGTGTTGCAGCGAGCATTTTGTCAATCACAGTACATGCAAGGGGCCTCGCCCAGAAGCATTTCTCAGTTGGCTGGCGGGGGTGGGATGCCCTGACACACAGCCACTGTCATAAAGTTGCCCTGACGCCAGAGCATTCCCAAAAAAAGCAGATTAAAGAAAGAAAAGCTAAAATTACAGAACCTTGTTGGCCAATGGTTTGGAAAAAATTAAAGCTGAAATCAGCTGGCGGGATGGTGAGCATTGTCAGGTTAGCAGGGCGTGGCTGGTATTTGTTCAAGATGGCGTTATTCCTTAGGGGGAGCGGAGGAAGAGAAGGCAGCCCTACATTCCTTGCTTAGAACTCTTTTCCTTCCATTTTTTGGTGTTCTGAGAATACAGGGCCTTCGTCATCACCCCAGCCAGTTTCTCAGAGCAAAATCCCGGTGGGTTGCTGGTCTGGTCTGAAGCAATGGAACAAAGTTTTGAGTCTGGTGGCGCCTTTAAGACCAACACATTTTAAAGTTTGTTGGTCTTAAAGGTGCCACTGGACTCAAATCTTTGTTTCTGAGAAAAACGTGAGGGCCAGTGAGAGCCATCGTGGTTAGAATGTCGGACTGGGGTCTAGAAGACGCAGGTTCGAATTTCCACTCTGCCGTGGGAGTCTGTTGGGGAGCGCTGGGTTAGTCCCTCTCTCAGCCTAACCTGCCCAAACGGGGGGGGGGGTTGTGAGGTTAAAATGGAGGGGGGGAGCCATTGTGGGTCCGCAGTTGGGAGGGGGGAAGAGGGTTATAAATATCAAAGGAAATCCCAACCTTTTCTCTGGGGAAGGGAGAAAGTGAGGGGGAGGGAAGGAGTCTGGCAAATGCAGGAAAAGATTCAATTCACAATGATGGCTTTCCGGGGAAGAAAACGTTGTTCTGGGCTCTAAATATTAAACGGTTGAGACATGGCTGCTCTCCCCACCAGCCTTCTCCGTTGGGTCATTAAAGAATAGATCGTTTCTTGGTGTGGGGCCCCCTGACCTGTCAGGGGGGGGGAAGGAAGTGCTTTTGCTTTGGCCGCCTGACGGCCCCTCCACCAGCTACCCCATGTGTTTGTACTCGGATCTGTCTCGTGGGATCGGAACTTGGCTAGTCGCCGTCATTTTGAGATGGACGTGGTAGATCCCGAGAGTTATCACAATGACCAGTCCCAAAATCAAGCCCAGAATGAGAGGGAGGGTCTCTTCTAGTTGTTCCCGTTGGTCCACGGGACATTTATGCTCTGCAGGAGAGAGAGAGAGGGAGGGAGAGAGTTATCACAAATAAGACTCTTCTTTGAAACAAAAGATGACATACCAGATGCAAATGAAATTTTAATTTCTTATTTTGGAAATCAACAATGCTTAAAAATGGCCCTTCCTCTACTCTACTTTAGGTGCCAGAGGATATTTCCACAAACTCTCATCGCCTGAATCAGAATAATTATGTTTTCTTTCTTTCTTTCTTTCTTTCTTTCTTTCTTTCTTTCTTTCTTTCTTTCTAGAACTGGACCTATTTGTCTTCAGAAACCAAAGATTTCTATACCTTTTTATTATGCATATTCATAGCATTAAATGTTTTTTACACAAAAAACCCCAAAAAAATTTTTTAAAAAAAAACAACAAAATTTTATCCACATGGCTAAACTTTCTTTCCCTCAGCAGTTACAGCTGCTGCCATCTCTTCAAACATGTTTCCTCCTTCCCCCTTCAGCTCTCACCGATACTTCACAAAACCATCTGGTGGTATCCTAGAACGATTCATGCCTATGGAGAAAATTTATTTATTTATTTTATTCAACTTCTATCCCCCCCCCTTCCCGCACGGCAGGCTCAGGGCGGGTTACATCAGATTTAATTAAAATACCATATATAAAATACAAAGGAATTAGTAAAAATACAATTAAAACTCTAATAAATTACAACTCCTCCTGATGGCACTGGTATTTCTGGCCACTGTGTGATACAGAGTGTTGGACTGGATGGGCCTTTGGCCTGATCCAACATTGGCATCTCGTATGTTCTCTTATGTTCTTATGTAACTGTATCCTTCAGCCGGTGCAGTTGTCCTTAGAATTAAGTCTCACAGATGCCATCTCTGGTAAGCAGTTCTGACCCACTGAGGGGAGACCCAAAAAAGAGGGATGGATGTCCGTCACTCTAGTTAAAAGCCTGGTGGAAGAACTCCGTCTCGCAGGCCCCGGAGGGACATCCATCACTTTAGTTAAAAGCCTGGCGGAAGAGCTCCGTCTCGCAGGCCCTGTAGAACTGTAAAAGGTCCCGCAGGGCCCTGATCTCGTATGGGAGCTCATTCCACCAGGTAGGTGCCAGGGCCGAAAAGACCCTGGCCCTAATCGAGGTGAGACGGATGTCCCTGCGGTGTTGATTGGCAGATCGTAAAACCCTTCAGGGCTCATAGAAAAAACATCAGCCAGCCCTCCTGAGCCATCAGCCAAATGAAGGCCTGGCCGAGAAACATCTGCAGCAGTCTTTTTCACAGGTATTACTTGGAAACTAATCAATAAGGGAGCACCCTCGTTAGGGGGGACACACTGGGTTGGATCCAGCCATCCACGCACAGAAGAAGACTCCTTGTTTTCCAGCCTGGTCTCCTGTTCCCGCAGTCCCTTCCCACCCCCTGAAGAAGGACCATCATGTGTGACCACGGGGCCCATGCAAAGGAAAAGCCTTGCTGGCCAGGGGGCTGCAGTGAGGAGGGGCAAGGGGACGAAATGGACCCCTCTCCCCAGTGGAGCAGGTCTTGTCGAAAAGGAAGGAGCAGCGATTTCACCCCTCATCCTCCCTCACTCGAGTCTCCCCACCGACTTTGCAGACTTCCTCTGTAATGTATTCTGAGGCTAGCTCACCATGCGGTCATGCGAAGCCGCCAAGCTCCGCTCCGAGAGACAATGGGCCAAGCAGATCCTAGCTTGCACCAATCGTGGGGCTGGGGTCCTAGCCAGGACCTATGGAACTCTCAGCCACTGTAAATATCCTATCACGGTTGTGGGTGTGTATCATGGGTGTGAGTGTAATGCAAATAAAAGCCAGCCTGCGAGCCGGGGTTCCTTGTCTTGTTCCGTACCTAAATAAATGTCTGAGCTGAAATCACTGCCTCTTGCTCAGTACATTTCACCGGCGACGAAAGTGGGATTATAACTCCCATGAACAACGACCATGAAGATCCGAGCATCACATCACACTCCAGCACCGAAAGCAACGCACCCCGCTCGGCATCATGCCCACTTCTCCGGTCACAGCACACCGCGCCGCTCCACTCGCCACACCACACCACGCGCCACTGACTCCAGGTCCAGCACAGCACCGCGTTTCCTCCTCCACATTTCATCCTCCACACAGATCCCATGACCCTGGGCATCACACTTCTGGGTGCTGGGAAAGGCGGTGGGTACAGAGAGGAACATAGTCCCGTATACAGAGTGGCAGAATCCATGCCCAGGATATCCCGGGAGAAAGGTGGGGTGATAAATGGTCAGGAGACGGGCGGGCTTATAAATATTTTAAATAAAGTAACGTCACAAAAAGCAAAGAGAATGAAGGATTTTTTAAAAAAACAGACAACAAAAAGAGAGATGCCGATGACAGGAAAGGACCTTCAGCTCACACGGGGCGGCGGGGGGGGGGGTATCCACGTGTTTGACAGTTGCTGATCTGTCTTGGGGCACAAAAGGATCCTTTCAAGACACCCCAAATCAAGTGTGCAGGTGAAGAAGGTAAGACTTTCTTTGGCTTCCCTGCTGCATCCAACTGTGTGATCTCTTGCTTAACTTGCACATTTTGAAAACGAGGCCTATCTGCCATCCCAAATCACTCTTCGGAGTCTGATGTCGCAGGAGGCGAAGAAACTGGAATATCCCCACAGAAGACCTGGATGCCACGACACTGCGCCATCTGCTCCGGACCGAGCGATCATCAAGTAGAAGGAAACGCATCGTGTGTGTGTGTGTGTGTGTCAAAGTAGTTGGTGTGTGTCAAAGTAGTTGTTCCCTGTGCTGAGATTCTGGAGTAACACAGGATGCATGCCCTTCTGTTCCTATTTACACTTTTCATATTTTACACATTGTAAAGTCACAACATCAAGCACTCTCAGAGCAACAGAAGGTGAAACTGGGAATGAGCTGAAACAGTAAACAGAAGTGTGTGTGGGGGGGGTTAGACAGCAGTGTTCCCTCTAAGCTGAGTCAGTGTGAGCTAGCTCACAGTTTTTTAGCCTCCGGCTCACACATTTTTGTCTCTGCTCAGAAAGGACGACCACAGAGGAAACTAATTGATGCAGGAGCCAAATCGCTTGCTCATGACTTCATTGCCAGTTGCTCACAAAGTAGGATTTTTGCCCACAAGACTCCGCTGAGAGCGAGCGTTGGTAGGCAGACGGAGAGGACAATGGCCGTATCTGGTCAGGCCCCTCTCGGAGGTGCTGGGGATCTTCACGGCCCAGAATTGCTTTCTGCACTGGGAACTGCCCCCGTCACCGGAGGGAGGATTGTGAAATGACGTCATATAAAGCCGTGGCAACAGAACAGAAATGAGCAGCCACAGGCTGGGCCGGGGCCGGGACAGGGGGACACAACATTGCCGTGGTCAAGCCATCTCAGCCGTGATAGAACCAGCTACACCAGATGTCCTCCAGTTGAAGAGCTGACACAATTAAGGGATGGAATTTGCCATCACTGTTTGTGGCGGGCTCTTCCTTCTTGGGAGGTTTCCAAAAAGAGGCCAGGTGGCCTTCTGACAGCAATGTGGATTCTATGAACTTTGGCAGCTCACAAGAGGGAGGGCAGGTTGAGAGGCAGTTTGGTGCAGTGGGCTAAGTGCACGAACTCTAATCTGGAAGAACCGGGTTTGATTCCCCCACTCCTCCACTTGCACCTGCTGGATGGCCTTGGGCAAGCCCTAGTTCTGATAAGGGCTGTCCTTGAAAAAAGAGCAGTTTCTGTCAGAGCTCTCTCAGCCCCACCTACCTCACAGGGTGTCCGTTGTGGGGAGGGGAAGAGAAAGGAGTTTGTGAGCCACTCTGAGACTGAGTGAAGGGCGGGGGGGATTAATCCAATCTCTTCTTCTTCTTCCGAGTTGCCTCAATGCTTAGTTCTCGTGGCCCTTTCTTACACGCCCAGGGAAATGCTGATGGCCACGTTGGGGTCAGGAAGCAATTTTCCTCCAGGCCAGTTTGGCTGGAGATCCTGGAGGTTTTTGTCATATTCTGGGCGTGGAACAGGGGTCACTGCCGGTGTGCATTTGTGAATTTCCTGCCTTGTGCAGCAGGGGGCTGGACTAGACGACCCTGGAAGTCCCTTCCAACTCTCCATGATTCTATGACAACCATTGGCTTGGTGGCGCTGCAAAGTGCTTATGACATCTTATGACCACCCCTCGTGGGGCTTTCACAGCCAGAGACGTTCAGAGGTGGCTTTGCCCTTGCCGTCCTTGGCGGCCCCCCATCCAAAGAGTAGCCTGCTTCGCTTCCGAGATCTGATGAGATCGGGCCAGCCGGGGCCATTCTGGCCATGCCAGCCACGGTTTAGGTGGTGTTGAAGGAACAGAGCGCTGATCTGTCGACGGCTCTCAGTGAGAGAACCCAGAGGCCTTCCTGCAGACAACGGAGCCCTTTTTGTCCCACTCGGGCAGCTCCTCCTCCACTTGAAGAGCCACTGAAGTTGGACGAAGAGATGAAGAAGAAGAGATTGGATTTATACCCCGCCCTTCACTACCCAGAGGAGTCTCAGAGCGGCTCACGGTCTCCTTTCCCTTCGCCTCCCCACAACAGACACCCCCTGTGAGGTAGGTGGGGCTGAGAGAACTCTTTCAAGGACTGCCCGTGAGAGAACAGCTCTGAGAGAACTTGTGACTGACCCAAGGTCACCCAGCAGCTGCAAGTGGAGGAGTGGGGAATCAAACCTGCTTCTCCCAGATTAGAGTCCGTGCACTTAACCCCGACACCAAACGAAGGCTCCTTCAGCTGGGTGAAGACTCCTTGGGAGAAGGTTGGATCCACACCAGAGTATGTCTGAATACTGGTTCTGGGGCGGGGGGGTGGGGGTGGAGGATTAACCATAGAGATGGGATGTTGGCTTCATTCCTTGCTGGGAGGCCTCCCAGAAATATCCATCTGGCCACGGCTGGAAACAAGTCGCTGCACGAGAGTCTTCTTCTGTTATGCTCTTGACTATGTTTAGGATTGGGGTATCCATATGCCAACCATTTAAAAAAAAAAACCACACAGCTA